TGAGTAAGCGTTCGGTAAACGGCCCCTTACTCTGTAACTGTTTGCTACACGGCCCCTTAAAAAAATTACAGTTCGAAGTTAGAGGTAATGATGAAAAGACTTGAATTTATTACTGGTTTTAATGATCAGMTTAATAAATATTAAGTACTTAAACGTTTAATTTTTTTCGGTGATTACAATAAATATGACGAACTTCAAACATAATATAATACAAGGTGAATTATTAAATAAAAACCATAAAAACGTTTTAAGTTTGTTATAATTAATATCAAAATATTTTGACATGATTTTTTCCATTAAAAGTTATATGATAGAATGTATTAATTGTTTCACGTAACTCTGTGTTCTCATTATAAAAAAAATACATCTGAAACTTTTTTGTTTATACTGCGGTGTGGAACGAAAAATACAGGTTAAAAAGGTTCATATTGTGAAGACAAATGCATGTGAAATTAATACATTGTGAAACAAATATATGCAAAACAGTACATTAAATCATAGTGTAACGAGAAAAAATACGTTGAAACTGGTTTTCACGGGTTTGTAACCTTTTTGTGGTGCTCACATGATTAACCACTTATAATACAATGGGCTTCATATCCCGACAAGATATGAGGGTACATAAATATAAAACCGAAAATAAAGAAGAAACCGAAATCGAACCTTAAACTCAATTATTGCATATAAAAAATTATTTGGGAATTTAATCATCGTGTTTGTCCAACAAAAAATGAACATGGTCACATGGAAAATTATTTGGGCACYGGATTTTGCCCATCATCGGGAAAACATGTTACATTATTTGTTACCAAAACAGGTTTGTTAATAAACATTTACGTGTAGTTTTTATATATATATTTTTAACAGTAATACAAATACCTAGAAGTGTACAGTTGTAGTGGGAATGTTAGAAGATGAAAACACCTTTGGTGATCGAAAAACACTTTTCACCATTCACTATGAAAGCACGTGTAACTGATATGCGTGTTATATATATATATATATATATATATATATATGTTTGTTAACCAATTTATTTGTCTTAATTATACAAACGTGTTGTAAGTTATATTATTTGTGGTTGTTCATATATGAATGTATTTTGAGAAATAATCAATAACACTTCAACAGTTAACATCCTTAATCAAACGAGTTCATTGCGTCTGTATATTTTACAATATGATTATGGATGATCAACATGAACATAGAAACAATCAATATGCATGAACGTGATATATATATATATATATATATATATCTTCACATTACAAGTACATCAGTTAGATTTCATATCAAATTTATTAATATATGATAGTAGCACAAAGAACGAATGGTTCATAACAACTGTGGAAATGTCAAAAGACAATAACACCTTTAGTATCGAATAACATTACACATTATTCATTATTAAAACTTAAGCATGTGTTTAATACATATTCCTTTTCATAGAACATGTTTATATATATATATATATATATATATATATTCTTAATATTTTAACAATAACATCTAAAATGAATAACACAACTATCTGGAAAAGTTACAAAAGACAAAAATACCCTTACTGATCAGATAAAATTTTAAATGAGTAATTATTAAAACTTAGACGTGCAACGTAGTACATATTTGTTTTCATGTAAAGGGGGATGATGCACAACTATTATGGAACAGTTAAAAGATGGCAATATCCTTTCTGGTAAAAATACAGATTCTGAATTATTTATTACTGAAATTTAAACGTGTAACATAATAAACATTCCTTCCCTTATGAGTCTACCAATTTGATTCTATGTAATTTAATACGAACGACGAGTGATGCAAAACTGTTGTGAACAATGTTAAAAGACAAAAATACCCTTAATGATCTAATAACATAATAAATTATTCGTTACTAAAATTTAAACATGTAAACATAATATATAGTTATTTTCACTAGAAGGGTACTCACATAACGCAGCGAGATACATCTTGATTTTATTGTTTCGTTTTTTTTTTGTCTCGATTGATGTTATAATACGGTTTTATTTGGTCTTTGAGAAAGTGATAATGTTTTTATTTTTGAATAAAATATAAATACGAAAATATCATAAAATATTGAAATTTTTTATTGATATTAGTACCAAACTAACTATTATTTTTTTTTTTTGTGTATTTCCGTAATGCATTTTTTTGGTTTAATAATATAACTTTTTATAAAGATAATAATTATGTATTTTGTTAKAACTCAATGATTATCCTAATTATATTTTAGATTTTTTATATTTAAAATGAAATGTTTATCCTTTATTTGATTATGTTTATCTGAAGTTAGTTATATGAATTCAAATATGAAGCTTTAAAAAGTCATACTTATGCACAAATTTACCTGTAATATTGAATTTTAAGTAATATACATCAATAAACAGTACTTCATGCATAAAAAATGACTTTTAAGAGTTTTTGTCAAATGTTTTATAATATAGTATATAGATACAACCAATTATATAGCTTATCAATTATATTTTATACGTAGTCTGGCATTAACGGTGCACAATTATCGTGGACAACACTAAAAGACAAAAATACCTTTAATAACCAAAAAAGCAAACAATAAACATAATATAAATTACCAATCATATTTTATACACGGTTTAGTAATATTTTAACAATTGAAAAGAGTGCATAATCGCTTACCGATCGAGCGCTAGATGAACGGGACTAAACGGTCTGCCAAAACTGTGGGATGTAAAAGTACATCGGTATGGGAGCGTTCCGCATCAGTCGGTTCGGATCTCCAGATAGTTTCACCCAAACTTCATCCTGATAATGGATAGATCACCCAGGTTTGAGTCCACAAGCAGAGTACCAATTGTAACAGTTGTTATTGAAAATGTTAAAAGACAAAACTACCCTTGGTTATGAAGATCCTGTCAAATCATTCATCACCAGAAATGATAATCTTTTTCATACAACGAGTTTATTAATTTGATTTTATACGTACTTTCTCAATATTTTTAACAGTAATACAACAACGACGGGCAGAAACGTGACGTGGATAATATTAATTGACAAAAATATCCTTAGTGGTCGAACAACGTTTTAAATTATTCGTTACCAAAACTTAAACATGTAAAACGATATATTCTTTTTCAGATAACGAATCCACCAATCATCTTATGTATACAACTTCACGGTATTTTGACAATAATAAATAACGAACAACGTACGTTTATGGTGAATAATGTAGAAAAGGGATACAACGTTAGTGGTTCACGAATTTCGATAAAGGGTAAAAAGGTCAAAAAGATGATTTGGATTTATACCCATGGAGGAAATAATCACCATCCTTTCTTGATACTTAGTTTTTAAAAATTAATATAAAAATAATAAACTAACACTTTTTAATGATTTTATGAGTCACTCGTTTGTCTAAAAGGGGCTCTTATTATTTTAATATTTTATAATAAAAATATAATTATTTTAATAATAAAATATAATTATTTATTTAAAATATTATCATATTATTAAAAAAGTAATAAATAACACATCGTAGGACTTCACAACTCACTTTGTCCGTTAAAATTGACTCATGTTTTATGATAAAATATACGTAATATTCTTATTTTAATTTAATTTTAATTAAAAAATAAAATAAAATACATAAAATTTAATTTAATTTAATTTTAAAACTTCCTCCCATCTATTTCTTCCCGTAATATATATATATATATATATCTATATATCTATACTATATTATAAAACATTTGATAAAAACTCTTAAAAATCATTTTTTATACGTAAAATGCTGTTTATTAATGCATATTACTTAAAATTCAAGATTGCAAGTAGATTGTGCGTAAATACAAMTTATTAAAACTCCATATCTGAATTCGTGTAACTAACTACATATAAACATAATCAAATACAAGATAAACATCTCATTTTAAATATAAAAAATCTAAAATATAATTAGGATAATCATTGAGTTATAACAGAATACTTAATTATCATCTTTATAAAATATTATTATTAAACCAAAAATAAATTTTTTCGTTATTAAACTTAAATTAAATTATAATAAAAAAATAAATTAAAGAAATTACATAAAAAATTAAAACTTTTAAAAACATTGATATATTTTTTTTTTCAAATTTTTATGATATCTTATTCAAAAATAGAATCATTATTGTTTTCTTAAAAATATATAAAATCGTATTATAATATCGACAAAGACAAATAATAAAATAAAACATTAAAATCAAGATGTGTTTTGCTGCATTACACGAGTACTCTTCTAGTATAATTAAATGTGTACATAAAATAAACATGTTGCAAACTATAGTTTATAACGAGGGTAAATACATGAGAAAATAACATACTTTGACTTGATTCTTATTCTGGGTAACGTACTTTCAAAACTTTCATTTTGGTACATAAGATGTAAAATTTTAAACATTTAAGTACCCGCATAACACGTTAAAGCATTAACCGGTTACCATGCTGATGTGCGAGTGATATAGTATCCAGCTCAGTATTATTTACTGAAGCATTAACCGGATACCACATCAGCATGATATACTGGTTAATGCTTCAACCGTTACCCGAGTACTTAAATGTTTAAAACTTTACATATTAGATAACAAAATGGAAGTTTTGAAAGTACATTACCCAAAATAAGAATCAAGTTAAAGTTMGTTACTTCTTCATGTAATTTACCTTAAAAAACAGTATTATAACTACAACTTCTTATCTGATAAGATATAAAGTAATAAATAACTGTAATAATAACTGTAAAAAGAGTAATGTATAATTATACACATTTAATCATTTTCCTATCAGAAAGTTCCATGCCAAGATCATAAATTCAGTGTTTTACTGTTTGTAGATTAAATTGAGTTTCTTAATTTTGGGTTCAAATTTTAACATTTTCTATTTGGAAGGAATTGTGGGTTTTAACGCAGCCAAACAAAGACAAACATGTTATATATAGTGAGTGGGCATACAGCAATGATCCCATCATAAAACACAGTCAATTGAAATTGACACTCGTATGCTCTGAAACTGCTGATTATGATTCGCAATATCCCCCATTGGAGAGTATAATTACACCTTCATAATCTCCTCAAATTCGATTCTTGAAGAAATAGGCGGCAACCACATTCATCGACTTCATGATCTGCTGTTTTGCACTCAACGCCGGTGGATGGTGGTGAAATCGGAAATATTTTTCTCGAAATTGCTCGGGCCGGCGGTGGGGGAGGTCTAGAGTGACTGTGTGAGCTGCTTTCCATTACACACACCAGTTTTTATTGTTTTTTGACATTAGGAAAACCCACAGATAGTCGGTTTTTTGGATTTTTCTGGTATTGGGTTTTGATCGGATTTCGATTTTTTTACCTCAGGAATCCTCTCTCTCTCCTCTTGGGTTTGTCTGGGTCTGTTTCTGTAGGGATAATCACGCAAGGAAGAAGAAGAAAACAAAAAAAAGGTGAGAGGAGAGAGAAGGGGGGAGAGAAATTATATAAGTTTTTTGTTGTTGATAGTCCGTGTTGGATTTGAAGATGAAGGTGATCTTTGTCTTCATTTGCTAATTTCTCTGCAGTTTGATTTTAGTCTTTTTCTTTAGAATGCCCCCCATCTGTTTGATTCATTGCCACATGGTCTAATGCTCTTGCCACGATTGAAATCAATCTTACTATTAAATCACTCACTGTTTTCATCGTCTTGATTCCATTCCCAATCCCAATTCCAATTTTAAAAACCATCTTGATAGTCTTCACTGAGATTAATGATTCCTATGATAATGGGTATGAAACTCATGGGTTCTGACAAAGCTTTGAGGGTCTTGGAGCTCACTGCAACTGGGTTCAATTTGACATTGATGGTCCTTTCAGTTTTGATTGTTTTCGGGAGAAAGATTGCGGTTTATGTTCGTCGAAATAGGGTCAGGAAAGAGGACGCAGATGAGGTTGGGAGTAGGGTTTCCTTGATCAGTGATAATGGAAGAGTTGGAGCTGCTGTAGAAGCTGAATTTCTCAATGTCGAAATCGGTAAAGCTTATAAAGCATCAGTTTATTGTTGCTTTTATGTTCTACTTCTACAGACTGTGGTTTTGTGTTATGATAGTGTTTGTTTGATTACAAAATCTGCACAATGGGAAAAGGGTGTGAATTGGGAACCTCTGTTGTTGCCTGGAGCCCAGTTTTTAGCCTGGTTTCTTTTGACCTTTTCGACACTTAATTGTAAGGCAAAAACCCTTGAAAGATTCCCATTACTTATGAGGGTATGGTGGGTTACTTCTTTTATCATCAGTTTATGTACCCTTTATCTTGATGGGAAGGAATTTGCAATTGAAGGCTCAAAACACCTGAATTCTCATCTTTTAGCTAATCTTGCAGCCACCCCAGCTCTTGGTTTTCTGTGTTTTGTTGCTTTAAGAGGTGTTACGGGTATTCGTGTTATTGGTTCTGATCTTCAAGAACCATTGTTGGTTGAAGAAGATGCAGGATGTCTTAAAGTCACTCCATATAGTGAGGCTGGTCTCTTTAGTTTGGCCACATTATCGTGGCTAAACTCTCTTCTTTCCATCGGTGTAAAGAGACCACTCGAGCTTAGAGACATCCCACTTCTTGCTCCAGAAGATCGCTCAAAGTTCAATTACAAGATTCTAAATTCGAATTGGGAAAGATTAAAGGCTGAAAGTGTCGAAAACCAACCTTCTTTAGCCTGGGCTCTACTTAAGTCTTTCTGGAAAGAAGCAGCCAAGAATGCCATTTTTGCAGGATTATACACTCTTGTATCATACGTAGGCCCCTATATGATCACTGATTTCGTTGATTTCTTGAGTGGAATTGAAAGATTCCCTCATGAAGGTTATGTTCTTGCTGGTGTGTTCTTTGTAGCTAAATTGATTGAAACTTTAACCACCCGCCAGTGGTATCTTGGTGTCGATATTCTAGGAATGCATGTGAGATCAGCTCTCACAGCCATGGTTTACCGAAAGGGACTCAGGCTTTCTAGTTCAGCTAGACAAAGTCACACCAGTGGCGAAATCGTAAATTACATGGCGGTCGATGTACAAAGGGTAGGGGATTACGCTTGGTATCTACACGACATTTGGATGCTACCTATGCAGATCATTCTTGCACTTGCAATTCTTTATAAAAGTGTCGGTATTGCCTGTATTGCAACGTTAATCGCCACCATTCTATCAATAGTCATAACAATCCCTCTAGCAAGAGTCCAAGAACTTTACCAAGATAAATTAATGGCTGCCAAAGATGATAGAATGAGGAAGACGTCTGAATGTCTTAGAAATATGAGGATTCTTAAATCGCAAGCGTGGGAAGATAGGTATAAAGTGAGGCTGGAAGAAATGAGAAGTGTTGAATTCAAGTGGCTTAAGAAGGCTTTATATTCACAGGCATTCATCACTTTCTTTTTCTGGAGCTCGCCCATTTTCGTGGCTGCGGTCACTTTTGGAACTTCAATCTTGATCGGTGGTCAGCTAACAGCTGGAGGGGTTCTTTCGGCTTTAGCCACTTTCAGGATCCTCCAAGAACCGCTTAGGAATTTCCCTGATTTGGTTTCGATGATGGCTCAAACAAAAGTGTCACTTGATAGAATCACGGGTTTCTTACAGGAGGAAGAGTTGCAAGAAGATGCAACTATTGTATTACAAAGAGGCATGTCGAATATGGCAATAGAAATCAAAGATGGCGAATTCCAGTGGGATGCATCTGCTCCAAGGCCAACGTTATCTGGTATTCAGATGAAAGTTGTGAGAGGGATGCGTGTGGCAGTCTGTGGCAGCGTCGGGTCCGGGAAATCTAGCTTTCTTTCTTGCATTCTTGGTGAAATTCCCAAAATCTCTGGTGAAGTAAGTCCTAAATCTATATATCACTACAACAAAATCGGCTTTATAGGATGCCAAATATGTCCAAGTGTCTTAATATATTGCTTTATAGAATTTAAGTTTATAAAACCATACAATTGTACATCATATGTAGAAGTGTTACAATAAGTTGATAAGACGTACTTGGGCATCCTAACAAGTTTTTTAGGCCACTTTTGAAATAAAGTCTCCTATTAGATTTTCTATAAGACACTTTTTAGAAGTGTCCTATGAACACACCTTTTTCTAGGCACTTGTTTTTATAAGAGACTTTTTAATTATGTCATATAAAAAAAACTAATTGGATGCTTCATTCCAAATTGTCGTAAAAAACTGGTTAGGATGTCCAAAAACGTTCTATCAACTTATTATAAGACCTTTATATAGTATGCATAATTGTTTGGTCCTATAAAGCGGTCTATTAGGACATTTAGAGGCCGTTTGGTTGGTTTTCCATCAAGTAGTATGGATAAAGTTGTCTGTGTTGATTAAATTAGTCTGTATAGATTGGGGAGGTTTTTGTTTGGGAGGGTTGTTTCATGGATGGACGGAGCGTGTTTTAATTGGAAGGGGCAGATTCCGGAAAAATTTGGCTTTCTGCATAAAGCTCCTTCCTAGAAGCATACTGAATAAGCTACTTTCTATATAATTTAGCACTACCAAACTGTCATGTATAGAAAACTGAATAAGCTGTGAGTCCCATTAAGCTCATTAAGCTGCTACCAAACGGACCCTTAGGCATATTGGGCATCCTATAAAGCCAATTTTGTTGTAGTGTGTCTAAACTTGAGTTTTTAGATGTTTTATGGTTTTTTGAAGCCGTATTAACGTGTTTTTTTGTTTCTTTTCTACTGTGGTTTAGGTGAGAATATGTGGGTCTGCAGCTTATGTATCTCAGTCAGCATGGATACAATCAGGAAATATAGAAGAAAACGTTCTATTCGGTAATGCAATGGATAAGGCAAAGTACAAAAGAGTACTTCATGCATGTTCACTTAAAAAAGATTTGGAGCTTTTCTCACACGGGGATCAAACCATCATCGGTGATCGAGGCATAAACTTGAGCGGTGGCCAGAAACAAAGGGTACAGCTAGCCAGAGCACTTTATCAAGATGCGGACATTTATCTACTTGATGATCCATTCAGTGCCGTGGATGCACACACTGGATCAGAACTTTTTAAGGTTCGAATTACTCATAAGAGTATCCACAGCCTATATTTTACCGAGTTTTGAGATTGATCTAACGTTAAATTTGGTATTTCAGGAATACATATTGACAGCATTGGCTGCTAAGACAGTAGTTTTTGTAACTCACCAAGTCGAATTTCTTCCGGCTGCTGACTTGATTCTGGTAAAACCTTCTTTTGTATATCTTTAAGTGTGTGTTCCTGATGGGGTTTTGTTCGTTATCAAAATTGCAACATTAATTGGGCACATAGTTATATAGAAGTGTGTGATCATAGCCAAAAGTCCCAAATGCCTCCCATGATAAGATAAAGATATCTTGTGAACCAAAATTGATGAACATTCGAGGCCTTTAATGATGATGATGCAAAAAACGAGTAAGCTTGCCAGAAAAATGAAATGTTGCAATTTTCATGATCCTTAACACGAAGGTTTAATATGTAAAGCATGATATCATTTTCAAGTTCTTTCTTCCAACTATGAGTAATCTAAACAATCTTTCTACCAAAAATGGTGGAAAGGAGTAAAGGGTTGTTTCTGCAACTCAAAACTATGACCTATCAAAAAGGAAGGATCTTTAACTCAATAACCATCAGCATAGGATAAAAATGCATATCTTTCAGACGATCCTTAAACACGAAGGTTTAAATTCATAAAGCATCATATCATTTTCAAGCTCTTTCTTCCAACCATGAGTAATCTAAACAATCTTTCTACCAAAAATGGTGGAAAGGAGTAAAGGGTTGTTTCTGCAACTCAAAACTATGACCTCCCAATAGATAAAGGAACGATCTTTAACTCATTAACCGTCATCATAGGATGAAATGCATACTTTTTCGATATATGATGATAGTATTACTTTATTACCTTGAATGTTTTCCTAGGAAAGTTATCAGAAACTACTCTGATTTGAATGATGTATGCGTGCATATGGGATTAATATCGTCACTCTTTTCATTTTTTACGTTGCAGGTTCTTAAAGAAGGCCAAATCATTCAGGCTGGAAAATACGATGAACTTTTGCAAGCGGGAACTGACTTTAACACTTTGGTTTCAGCTCACCAAGAAGCAATTGAAGCCATGGATATCTACAATCATTCTGATGATGAGTCAGATGGTCACCATCCTCTCGATGGATCGATAACAAATTGTGAGTCAGTTGGAACCAGTATGGATGCCATGGCAAAGGTTCCTAATGAAAATGCATCCATTTCAGACCACAAAGCCATCAAAGAGAAAAAGAAAGCAAAACGTTCACGAAAAAAACAGCTAGTTCAAGAAGAGGAAAGGGAACGTGGGAAGATTAGCATGAAGATTTATCTATCATATATGGCTGCAGCGTATAAGGGTTTATTGATTCCACTTATTATCATTGCCCAAATTTTATTTCAGGGGCTTCAGATTGCTAGTAACTGGTGGATGGCTTGGGCTAATCCACAAACAGAAGGGGACACAGCTAGAGTTAGTAATTTAGTGCTAATTGCAGTTTATATGGCCCTTGCTTTTGGAAGCTCGTGGTTTATATTTGTTAGGGCAGTTTTGGTAGCTACATTCGGTCTAGCTGCTGCACAGAAACTGTTTCTGAAAATGCTTATTAATGTCTTTAGGGCACCTATGTCGTTCTTTGACTCTACTCCAGCAGGGCGGATACTGAATCGTGTATGTATACATTCTCTCTTTTTTTTGCAATACTTCATTTTCTGTTTCCGTAATTGTTTATGTGACACGGGTTGGGTTCGGGGGAAAACCACAAAAAAATGGAAAATTGAGAACCACCCTGATAACCATTCATTTGTCCGTCATGCATATGTGCATAAAAGGTAATTTGTCCGGATGTATATGTGCATAGAAACCAGAAAACATTTTCAATAACTCTTATGCACATGTGCATACTAGACAAATGAATGGTTATTGAGGCGCTCCTCAGTTTTCCATTTTTTTTTTGTTTTCCCTTGAACCTGAGTCTATGTGACATATCAGGTATTTGTTGATTTACTGGGCTTGTTTGCATTTGGTTTATCAGGTATCCGTTGATCAAAGTGTTGTTGATCTTGACATTCCTTTTAGACTTGGGGGATTTGCTTCGACCACGATCCAACTTCTTGGTATAGTCGGGGTAATGACTCAGGTTACATGGCAAGTGCTGCTTCTTATTGTCCCAATGGCAATCGCGTGCTTGTGGATGCAGGTGATTACATTACTTTTGACCACTTTGTACCGTAAAAGTCAAAACCAAACCAAAAGACCCAAGAAATCCCACACAGGTTTGGGGAGGGTAAGATGGGGAGGGTAAGATGTATGCAGACCTTATCTCTACTCCAGGTGGTAGAAAGTACCAAAAGGGTCATTGGCCTAGTGGTTACCAAGTTACCTGTAGACAACCTCCCTGGAGGTCAAGCGTTCAAACTGTACATGAGTATTTGTAGTATATAAATATTAGAGGGAGGTTCAGCAACTCCCAAAAAGTGAAAAACTGAGGAATACCCTGCAATGATTGGAGTTGTTTCTTGGTTTTTATGCATGTGTACATGTTATGCACATGTGCATACAGTACAAATCTATAATTACTTATATGCACATGTGCATACCTTCCGGATGAACGGTTACCGGGGTGTTCCTTATTTTTTCATTTTTTGTGGTTTTCCCTGAAACTGACTCATGAATATTATATACTTCAAAAGGGGGGTAGAAAGACTGTTTTCGTGAAGACCACTTTCATAAAATCTACATATTTTTAATGAATCATCAGTTGGCTAATGATTCATTTCGTGTTTTATGGATGCAGAAATACTACATGGCTTCATCAAGGGAGTTGGTCCGAATTGTTAGCATCCAGAAATCTCCGATCATCAATCTTTTTGGAGAATCCATTGCCGGAGCAGCCACAATTCGAGGTTTTGGACAAGAAAAAAGGTTCATGAAGAGGAACCTCTATCTTCTTGATTGCTTTGCTCGCCCGTTCTTCTGTAGCATTGCAGCTATTGAATGGCTCTGCCTACGCATGGAGTTGATATCAACCTTCGTATTTGCTTTCTGTCTGGTTTTGTTAGTCAGTTTTCCCCGTACAGCTATAGATCCTAGTAAGTACTTTCTTTCACTCACATTTTTTCTATTTAAAGATATATATCCGAAGACATTGTTTGGCAAAAATAAGCTAGCTTATTTTCGAGGTACATGTTTGGATGCAAATAAGCTAGCTTATTGAAACGCTACTTGGAGCAACGCTTTGGTAGCTCACTTTTTTTTATTACTCTTATTAATATTAATTATTATTTATTCATATTAATTATAAATAAATATCAATAAAATTTAAATATTACTAATATTAATAAATATTAATTAATATAAATTGAAAATTAATTTTTATCAATCTTAATTATACATTATACATTAATATTATTGATTAATTATTTATTATAATCATTTTTCATATCAAATATTTTTTTTAATTATTATTCAATATATTTAGTTATCAAAATGCAAATATAACAATTTTAACAATGTTTATGTAACATAAAAATTAAAGTTATAAACCACAAGGGTGGTGTCTGATTGGTTTGAGTTTGGCTACAAAGGTCAAAAGTGCTTGGAGGTCCCAGGTTCAAATCCAATGAGGAATAAAATTTCTCTTGTGGCCATGGAGGTTCAAATGCAGTGACTCCGGGTTACCCGCAAACCAGGTGGTCATCTTGGGATTAGTCTGCTCGCATAGCGGGTTGGATATCCAAGCTAACAAAAAAATAAAAATAAAATTCTACTTATTTTGTTTCATATACAATGAAAATGTGTTAAATAATTTGAATAAAATATTTAATTTAATTATTAAATATATTTTTTGAAAAATTATTAATTAATTAAGGATAT